CTCTGATGTTTCAGCTGGGTTCCCAACATCATCAACGAGAGCCTCCTCTTCTACCTGGAGATGCAGACCGACATCAACGACAGCGGATTCAGGAACATCAGGAACGCAACCCTCATCACCTGGTTCATCATGGTGGGTTAGAAAAACATCAGCCTACACAACGCTAGTTTGATCAACTCCTTGAATGATTCTGTGTTTCACCCCTGCAGGGCATCCTGAACCCCATGCAGGCCTTCCTCAACACCTTGGCCTTCCACGGCTGGACGGGCTTCGATGTTGACTTCAGCCTGCAGCGGAGGAGGGAGCTGGCCTGGGACTCGGTTTCTACGTCGGTCCCTAACACTGCCAGCCATAACCCCATAGTGGGAACTACTCTGCTTTACCAGAGTCATGTCCAGGAAGGCCAGAAAGGCATGATGGGAAACGGGCAGCAACACTCAGACGCCATGAGTGTCCTCTCAGAAGGTAACTGGCCTCACGATGGTAGTAATCGCTCGCCAGTATATCAGGGCTGGTGATGCTGACTTATAGCATCATATACAGACTGCCTCCTCTTATGAAGTGTGTGTATTGTTTTGGATGTGACCAATATGGTGCTGTACCATCCAATGAAGAGATGTAGTAGACATTTTTTGTACAATTAAATTAGCCTAGCGATAAAATTAAAGTTCTCTGTGATTCATTTTCTAAAGTATTTTTTATACCAGTGTTGTAGCCGACTCCTGATGGATTTAATAATGAGGCATGTTGTGTTGCACTGTGTAGAACTGGCTGTTTTGATCTGTGCTGAATAACACAGTAGGTGTGAAAGTGCAGTGCAGGGACGTTACAGATTTTCTGTGATGCTATCAACCTGAATGGATTTCTTCATCCATAACTGACAGACACGCTTGTTTAGTGTATAATTTCATCATGAGCATAACTAACTGCTGCTGCAAATTGTCAGCGGTGGAACACGTGTTAAGATCCTTAAGTAACAATTGCGTGTGTTGTGATGTATGTAAACATCATTGCAAGTAAAATATCTGCATGAATAGTCCTACTTCAGTAAAAGTATTAGATTTGTTTTTAGATGTTATTACATTTGACATCATTAAATTCTTAACACCGAAGTGAATAAGCGGCATGTTACGGTTGTAGCTGCTGCAGATTAAACTAATTTACACTAATTTATGTAGCATTTCATCTGCAGGGACAGTAGAGAAGTCATGAGATGATTAATGTGAGCAAAAAGTAGACAACACAAAGTTCTGACGCACAAGTCTGTCATCTTTTTTTTTCTTCTAATCTATGATTTTTGCTAAGATATTGGACTAATTGATCATTTATTGAAATCACACCAGAAGTTTAGAGGGAAAATGACTCTGATGGAGCTGTTAGCGACTCTTAGCAGCTGAAATGTTGGAAACGCTTGGATTTATCTCTATATATACAGAGGAAATGCTCAAGCAAAACACAAGCACCTCAAAGTTGTACTGGAGTAAATGGGGTTAGTTACTTTCCGCCACTGAAAATTGCAACTTTTCCAGGGCGCCTATCTGTTATGTTATTCACAGATAGTCAGTTTACAAGCAGAGAGCAGTAGAAAAGCTGTTGACTATACAGATGAAGCAGGTAGCTGCTACTGTGTGGGGCACATATATGTGTATCTTATAAAACTAATCCATCCCATAACATGTCCTCATGAAGGTTGATTTTTTTGCTAAGACTGTTTTAGAGAAGCGTTGATTCATTGTTTTTTCTTGGCTGCTGAAATTTGTTGTGCTGCTAAACAGGATTTGGTTTTACATCAAGTCTTCCCTAATTTCTTTAGAAGCAGCTCAAGCTTCAAGTGAAGCTTTGTTGCAGATCTATTGTAGCAGTCTGCATCAGTTTTTTTTGTTAGATTTACCTCATAAACTGGCAGCAAAGTGTAAGTTCAGTACTCACTGCATAAAAAAAATGTTATTTATTCTGTCATTGGAGCCACACTGAGTGATTTCACCCGTTTTGTTGTTGTTGTGTTTGTGCACAGTGTAGATCTTGTCCTACACCTATTCACTGTTTTGTATCGCCAGTGTCTCTGCCATGACGAGTCTTTAGAAATAAAGCGAATCTTTCAAACTTTTTCTTTTTCATTCATTCATTTATATGTTTTGGTCAAATGAGGAGTATCAGGAACAGACAAAAAATATATATAAATCAATTAAAATTTGTCAGAAATAAAGTGTAAATAAGCAGGATGTACAGTCGTCCTCACATTTATTCATACACTTTCACTAACAAAAAAAAAAAGGCAAAATTCACTACAGTCACTCAAATAACTAGAAACTGAAAAAAGTAATAATAAATAAAAATTTGCTAAATTATAATTTTGTGAAATAGGATGTTGCTTTTGAATTGTGGTTGAAAAGCATAATAAAAAATAAAAAAAACAGGTGCAGAAGTCTGATTGAGAGTTACAGAAAACACTTGACTGCAGTGATTGGCTCAAAGGGTTGTTCAACTAAATATTAGTTTACGGGTCCCATCATGGTTGTTTTTTTTTTTTTTTTTTTAATATATATTTCAGTTGAACCACAATCCAAAACCAATGTCATGATTTTATTTCAATTTTTATTTATTATTACTTTTGTCAATTTCAGCTTATTTCAGTGACAGCTGTTGTTTTCCTTCTTCAATGGGAGGGTATGAATACATTTGAGGTTGACTGTATATTAAACACATTTTTTTAAAAATACAGTATGAAGGTGTCTTGTGCAGTAACACCCAGTAATCTACCCTTATTTTGTCTTGCTAGGTTCAGAGTCTAGTACAGTTGAAATCCACATTTCCAGCGAGCTACGAGACTATGAGGATGTAGACGCTGACGGAGAGTCCTTGGAGAACTCCGTGAGGCACTAGCCTGGGTCTTCACCAGTCCACCTCCCCTCTACTAAAGCTGCACGACATCGTTCTTTTGTTTTAGATCGACTCTTAGCCTCTATTATTCTGGTGAGATTTTTTATACTGGTTATGGGATTTCATTAGCTGGAATGACGGAGTTAAGTCTTGACTGTTAGTTTCAAGCCTTTCCACTTCCTTCTAAATCTGTCTGCGGTTCACTGTGGCGCTACTTTACAGGCCCATCAACTATCCGGCAAGTGAGGAGTCCCAAAGCTGCCGTGTCTTGTAGCCGTCAGTCCACAGAACAAACATGACATTTTCTCATGAACAACTCACAGGCTGACCTTTAAAAGTGCCTTAAGTGCTTGAGGAAACATTTCTTCTGGCAAGTTCTCTGAATTGGATGCACTGAATTTGTGATGTCGTTAAGCTGCCAAGGCCTGACAGAATGTAGGAAGCTCATTAGTCTTTTTTTAAACAAAGTTGTTGTATTGCCAACTGTCTATCTTGTGTTTTTTTTTGCACATGTATTTTATGCCTTATTAAATATCTTGTAGTTTTGTTGGTGACACCGTCTTCACTTTCTTTGGAGGACAGCACAGCAGCTATGAGCTCGATAATGAAAAGAAACAAACCACGATTCAAGACAGGCATGTTTTCTGATATCAAAATAGAGTAATTTATTTGAGACACTGAATGACTTCAACAGTTTATCTTGGAAACAGGTGACAGCACCCTGGATCAGGGTGCAAAGAGAGATAGTAGCTGTCACAGCACTTATTCCATATTGGGCTCCATAGCATGCCAAGAATGGCCACCGACCCACAGCCCACATGTCAGTCTGACACAGACGATAATGGCTCTCAGCAAATTAAAGAAAAAAAGTCAGAAAATAATGAAACACCCATTAGCATCCAATTGTGACATTAGAAAAAAGAGGGAAAAAGAAGATAAAAATAAAACATTGGACCTTCACTTTCAGCAAAATCTGAACATTTGCTGAATCCACCAATACAAAAAGTGCACTTCATGTTGCTCAAGCAGAAATATACTAAAAGTGAAAGGGACCAGGAAAAAAAAGGCAAATCAAAAGTGGTGGCAGGTTAGTTTGAAGCTACTGTCTTTAACTTTAGATCCCAGTAAGCAGAAACAGGCAGACATACTGCACACTGTTGAAGCCCAGCCCACAACACAGGCGTTTCAAATCTGACCAAAGCTGGTCAGCTGGCGACATTAAGACCAATTGTAGCTTTTTTTTTTCTTTTTCTTTTTTATTCTTTTACACTTTTTTTTTTCTCTCTTTTTTTTTTTTTTACAGCAACAGCAGGACTTTTTGCATGAACTCCACCTTCTGGTCAAAATGTGATCTGAATTTTCAGTAGACTGATCGGAGAAAAGTGCCAAAGAGGAACCATGGTAATGCTCATCTAGCTGTAGTAACCATCCTTGCTTGGATCTGCACGATACTCTTTGTTGGTTCTGTGGTCTCCTTTTTTTTTTTCCACACACACAAAACAGATTTAAAAGAGCAGATCAAGCGGGAGACCGATGACTGCTAACTCTCATATTGTTGACAAGATAATTCCCTGAATGCAAGTAATGAGGTGCACATTTCTTCCATGGCTTTCTGTGATCAATAGAGGAAAGCGAGGTTGCTCAACACTTCTGTCTTGATGCCATTTGTGACTCACTGAAAAAAAAAAACAAACAAAGCTTGATGCACTGGATATGATTGGCCAAGTTCAGAGAGACTGTATTAAAAGAAGCCGACGAGACTTGCACTTCATTTAAGAAGTGGTCTTGTCACGCGTTAACAGCAAAGATGTGACAGCTCTAGCCACTGAAGAGCCCCTACAGGATGGCAATAAAGTGTACTGTATATAAACATATATACACAGTATATAAGTCTGTGTATTAATCTAATTTACATATCTTTACATTCTTTAAATTTACATCCAGAAAGGGAGAAAATTCTCTTTGTAAACCACACTTTTCACATCTTGTCCACAAAATGACGACTTCTAATCTCGAGTGAACTGAGCAGGTCATTTTGGGATGTTAGAACTATTTCTTGGCATGTTTTCCTTTTTGTTGACCTGATGTTAAAAATGAGCTAAGAACTACCTTGTAGCGGCACATTCAATTTGACTTTCAAAAGTCCATCTGTGGAAAATAGACAAAAAAAAAAACAAAAAAAAAGCAAGAAGTACTCTTGAAACAAACTATTCTCCGCTGAGGAGAAGTTAAGCACCCTGTCCACAGACAGTAGCGGTGCTTCTGTACTGACATTACTTCAGTTCATTTGGACATGAAGTGACATTTCCTCAGAGGAATTCTTAATCCACAACCTTTCTTTGACAATTTGTTGTCTCTCACAGCCAAACACCTGTGTGCCTTTAACACTTTTCTCTTTATAGAACTCGACTCATCTTTGTGTTTCCACCCTTCCAACCCGATAACAGCTGGACCAGTGGTCCGTGGGGATGGCAGCACTTCCTCATTAGAAACCTTTTAATACACGGATGCACCCAGGAGGTTGTGTCCAGTCTTGGGGATCTGAGCCAGCTTCCATTATGTCTCAAACAGGCATATCATCAAACACACGTCAACAAACTGTAAGGTGCGCTGAATTCAGTTGGTGGTCAAGCCGCTGCAGTCATCTGGTTTTACTCCTGTGAGGGTTTTGTTTCAGTTCACCTTTACAGCCCTTCTTGAGCAATGAGAGTGTGTTTGCTGATGTCAGAAGAAGGCAATTTCTGCACATTCCAGGATTCATCAAAGTCTCAAGTCAGTTATTTTCGGAGATCAAGAACACACACCTAGAATGCAGAGAGTTAGGCAGCATTAATATTAGAGCTCAAGCATTTTTATTCAATATCCTTAAAGAACTGTTCGTGACATGTTTAATCATTTCACTTGCGAGTACCAAATTAAAGAATGTAAATAAAAAGGTTGCTTACCGAGCCATCTGATGCACTGGCCCCAACTTTGTCTCCAGTGCTGTTCCAGCACACCTCAAAAATACCACCGGTACCCCTGTAGCTGTGCACTAAGGCTCCAGTCTGAAACAGCAGCACAAACAAATAAATGACAAACTCTCTCAAGGTTTGTAATCACACCCAATCTTCTGTCCTTTGTTGTTCTGATACTTACCGTGGTGTTCCAAATGTGGACACACTTATCGAAGGAGCCGCTGGCTAGGTGTTTGCCGTCGGGGCTAAAGGCCACGCTGTAGACAGGTTCTTGGTGCTTGGTCAGCGTATGAATACAAACGCCTCTTTCAACATCCCACAGTCGCACTGTCGAGTCGAAAGACGCGCTGGGTGGAATACACAGAACGCAAAGAAATCAGATACTTAAGCAGCATTAAAGCTTCCTAATCATTTGCTTTTGTGAGAAACATTATTTTTTAACTGCCTTTCAATAGCATATTATATATTATTTGAACTTAACTATGATGCTGAGAATGAAGCAAAAAGACTCACAAACTGAAACTAAAAGAAATAATAACACTTCTTTAGAAGCCGCTTAGTTTTATCACTTGTGTTTTCGAGAACACATTAACACCATGCAATAAAAATGTGTTGATTTTTATTGAAGTGACAAGTTGAGTATCTGGAAGCGTAAATCTAACACATTGTTAAAAATAAATAAAGATGAAAAAAAAAAAAGAGGCTGATTTTAATTAGCACCTCTTCTTCACCGAGGTAGAAATGGGGCTTAAGTACTCAAGGGTTCAGCAAATCAAACAAACTTAAAAGGAAGAGAAGACATACATGCATGTACCGTTTTCTGTGGTATTTATGTAAGAGTCTGTGGTTTTCTTTTTTAAGCTCTGGCAGTTTTATTTTCAGTATGAATTATAGGCAGGTGTACTGGGTTGTCAGTATGGACTGTAAATTCCTGTGGTATCTGAAGTGGAACATTTACACATGCATGCACATCTGGGTCAGGGGGAAGGGCTCTGGGCCACTGACCATTACAAGCGCTGGGATTTTGCCTGGAACATGGTTTCCCCTGAATGTAAGACCGTGACCCCTTGCCAGTCACAGCTATACATGCATGCACCTCGTCATAAACACAGTTTGGTTCGAGCACACAAACTTGGACTCTCCTAATCCAGCAGTGCGCGGGAGTTGCCTTGTATGGTGCTGAAAGTGAGATATTTGTAAGCAATTTCCTACCTGGCAAGCATGATGTTGGAGTTGGGGTTATTTGTGTTGGGGCCGGTGGGGCTCCACTTGATAGTGTAGATTTCTTTGCTGTGAGCCTGGAGGTCATGGACACAGGACTCCTGCTTCATACTCCAAATCTGTGTGCGAGAGAACAGCAAGAGCAAAATGTGAGTGAATACAAATCACCTCTAATGTTTGTTTTCTTTAACCCATAATACAGAGAGGACTAGTCTTACCTTTAAGGTCATGTCATCTGAGCAGGAGGCAAGCAGCATACCTGATGGATCCCACTTAATGGCATTAACTTCATTCTGCAAAACACAACGCTCATTAGCATGACTGTCAAGGGAGAGAGCAAGGTAAAAAAGCAACATGGAAACTCTGCTCACCGTGTGACCCTGGAAGGTCTTGAGGGGCCGGTCGCTGCCAAGCCGACATACGTGGATGCACATGTCTGTGCTGCAGGAGGCAAATGTGGTGTTGTTTTGCCAGTCGACGTCCAGTGCTGGGGCTGTTGGATATTTTAATGCACAGGTCACACTCGATACGGGGTCAGGAGGCGAGGTTTCTGAGCCCATTTTGCATCATTTTTTAAAGTGATTAATATATTATCCTGGATACATAGTGAAGTTATTTTACCTGAGTGAAAAGGAAACTGCTGCTTGGCTTCTCCTGTGTGTGCATCCCAAATGATTGTCGTCTAAAAAAAAAATGGAGTTGCATTTCAAAATGTGAGTGCAACATTTCTCCACAAATCATTATAAAAAAAACAACAACTGAAGTCTTCAGCCAACTATCATCAATACAATAAAATACATCATATTAACAGTTATTGTTTGTAGCACAAAAAATAATTATGCAGACTGTATTTTGCTTAGTTCCTCTCATTAATAAACCTCTACTCAATTAGACTGTAAACATTAAATAATAAATGAGAAAATGTTTAATAGAGACCATAAAGAGAGACATGGCAAAAAAAACGTACGCTTCTCTCCCTGTCTGTGTCTTAAAGTTATACTATTCAGAAGATTTACTGCTAGCAGTGTAGTCTGCATTGTAGTTTATGAGTATCAGGGAAATTATTTGTCTCAGATTTACTCTCTGGCTGGTAATCAAGAAAACTCTTGAACTGGTAAAAACAATACATCAGGATACTAATGTGGAGGAAATGTAGTTAGTATCAAATGTATGTACAAATGCACGATTGTGGGTCTTTGTGAGGTACCTTATCTACGCCAGCGCTGAGAATACAGTTCCCCTTCTTGTTCCACTTGAGTGCAAATATGGGCCCTTTGTGCTGCCCCAAGGTGCTAGCCAGATTTCCTGATGGATAAGTCAGAAGAATTTCTTTTAGAAAAGAACTTTTACAAAATTGTCACAGAGGCTGATTAATTCATGGTAACCGTGCCATAAAACAAATGTCCAACAAATCCGTGGCAATGATAGAGGACATACCATCTTTTGTCCATATCCTGGCAAATCCATCATACGAGCCCGTTGCCAGGAGAGTCCCGTCGCTCTGTGAGACGCAGAGATAACAGAACAGTTACTTGAGTGTCCTAAGCTGCCCAATCTGCACGGTAAAGGTAGTAGAAGGGAGATGTGGACGGATGATGTGAAACCTACATTCCAGTCTAGTGAGGTGACGTCTTTGTTGCTGGGGACATCCTGGCCACCTTCTCGGATACAGTGGCGCAGCACCAGTTGAG